AATTTATACATTGGAAGAAAAATAATTAGTTTTTTGACCTTGGATGCATGTAAACCTATTGTAGGAGAACTCCAAAAAAAAATTAGGAACCTTTATGCTGCGTTCACGTGCTATGGAAAATAGGATATTTTGCTTGCATTCAAGTGCTTTTGTTGTCGTAATGTAGTAAAAAGATGGAGATCCAGACCTGTTATTTAGCTAAAACTATTTTAGATTGCTTAAGTCATCTGCAACAGCAAGAAAATGATTTATAAAAACTCAAAAGGAATATAATATGCTAATATATTTTCTAGATCATGTATAGTATATATTTTTACCATTCACGACTCTCGCGGTGCTCTCCGCCATTTTGAAATGGTCAAAGGTTATCTCATCTCGGCAACTCGTCCATCAAAATATTCTACGAGTTGCCCAGTAGAAAATACCACATGAGGGGGTGTTCATGTGCAATTTTCATGTCGGCTTTTGGTATTTACCATAATTACCATAGCACATGAACGCAACATTAAAATAGCATAATGGGGCAAAAATGTTGTCTTTGGTTCCAAGATATGACACACAATAGTTTAATAATCTCATTTGATCTTGATGAGTGAGATAATCTGATTGTTGAACACATGTAAAAAGTACATTGAATTTACATTCGACCCTCTTCTGTACTCATCTTGACAGCTTGAAAGGCTCCTGTGAATTTCAAAACATTAATTATGCAATTTGCATGTGCGTGTGTCAGGGGCACGGTGCTTCTGTTTAATTAAGCAAGGTTCCACATGAAAAAAAAAAATGCATGAGCAGAGAGTGGGAGGGTTTATGCTAATTTACTCACAGCTGCTCGTAAGGATTGTTTATCACCCTAACAGGGGATTTTACCAGCATGCATATTATGCTATTTTTTTGCACAGTGATTGGTTTGCGATGGTTGGGTCTCTTTAGGGCCGTTTCAGGAAGCTCGTAATGAAATGCAGACTTAAATCTAGTGTCAAGGTGTGAGTTATTGCAACGCATTCTCATCCTTTAACGTCATATAGAACGCTATATGACAAAACGGCGCTATACTACGCACATGGCACCCGTTATCGTTAATATAACACGTGCTGTGAGGGCTAAGTTTAGGTGTGGGGTAGGGTGTGCGTGTCATATTCACGCTAAAGGATTTATAACGTCTTGGGTTTGCGTGTTATATTAACGATAAAGGGTGCCATGTGCGTAGTATAGCGCCGTTTTTGCATATAGCGTTCTATATGACGTTAAAGGATGAGAACGGGCTGGTTATTGCTACCTGGCTGGATTCATACGCTAGAGATGGAACTTATCAGGACAGTGTGGTGATTGCTGCTCTGTTATTCACATGGTGATTTGACTGTAGTATGCATTAATGAGGACTAAAATTGGACTCAATATCATTATGACATCATGAAAGAACACTGAAGTGTGTTGTTAGCATTTGTTAGCAGACAGTAGGGCAGTTTGTGTTAATCTATATTTGGATCTCATTCACCAAACGCTTTACTGATTGTTACCAAGAAATGTGTCAAATGAGCTACATGATTTTGACCACATCACGATTATTGTTGTTGGTGTTTTTTTATCCAATCAATGTGCATAGTGTAGCTAATTTGGTGTAATTAAAGAAAATCAAAGTGTCTCCATCAACTAACAGAGCCACAAAACGGGTCTGTGTCATGGGGGTCTGTCAACCATTAACAAGCCCATCTGTGTCATTCGTAGTTTGCTGCTCAAACTCCCAATGATTGAAGATAAAGCTCATTACTATTCCAGACTACATCTCCCCTGTGTAACCACCAGATCTGCTCTTGACAAAGACTGACTATGGTCTGTGACCGTCTGAATTTGAAGATGACCCAACCAAATGTGTTACAAAAGCAAATACAGTATCAAACAAATATTTCATTATAATATGAATTATTTGTGTTTGTATTATATTTTACTATCATTACTATTAATAAAAACTATATCACAACTAATGTAAGCAGGTCCAGCTGGATTCATCATACACACATATATCAACCCGATCTCACGGCAATTCGTACGAATTTTACGAGGTGGCTAATTCGTAACAATGCGTACGACCTCACTCGTACGAATTAGTACGATTTTAGCTAAATCGTACATAGTTGCCAAAACAGTTACCAAATTCGTATGAATCCATACCTACCCCTGACCACGCCCCTAAACCTACCCATCACGTAGGTTTAGACAAATCATACAAATTTGTACAGTGAAGTCATGCGAATTCTTACGAATTAGCCACCTTTTAATCACCCATACAAATTCGTGCACACATTGGTTGTGAGATAGAGTTGATGTATTCTGGCATTTTCAAAATTCTTGGGTACCATTTCATTTTAGACAAGGGGGGGGGGGTGGTCTGGTGAGCCACATTTTAATGTTAATGGCATTTGTTCAAGAAAAGAGTGCCAGTATTATAGATCACAAGTTATGTAAATCCAAAGTATGGGACGGGCCTCTCTATGCTTGAGAGCCATGTGGCCTTCTCAAACACTGAGGGGCAAGAGACTCTCTTTTAACAAAAGCTACTCAAGCGAGAATCACAGGCGTTTAGTGTGAAGGGATCCTTGAGTAGAGAAACAGACTTTGTAAATCCCACCGCAGATTCTGTGTGCATCACATTACACTTAATCCCAGGAATTCACCAAATGTTGAATATTAAAAAAAAGAAAAATACCAAACCCTGTTCTGCTGCATAAGGAAACTCATTTTAAATGGATGCTAACTGGTAAGTCTTATTTACATACTATTAACCATTAATAATTAATGACTAATCCCTGTCATTATCCCCCCATTCTCTGAAGTTTATAAATTATCCACCCTTTTCATTTCAATGGATAGGCTCCTTTTTTCACTGTCATTGTTGAGTGGCCAATCAATGAACTGCTTCTGGAACGCCCTTTCAAACCAAACCTAGTTAGTTTCTAAACAAGCTCAGTCAGACAAACAACAAATATACACTACACACTCTAGAGCTGTTAAAATACTTTGTGAATGGGTGCATTTGGTTAAACACAAACTGACATTGGACTCTATTGAGGTGGAAAGATTCTTGTAAATAGGAGGGAACAATATAACATCTGAGCATCTCGTTCACGAAAACAGATCGCCATCTAAACATACTCACTTAATCACTACAATACGTGTCTGTATTAATGTATTAATGGGCTTTGTTGCTTCCCTTTAAAGGGTTAGTTCACCCAAAAATGAAAATTCTGTCAGTAATAACTCACCATCATGTTGTTCCAACTCCGTAAGACTTTCGTTCATCTTCGAAACACAAATTAAGCTATTTTTGATTAAATCTGATAGCTCTCTGACTCCTTCATGGACTTCTAGCAATTTCACTCTAGCTGCGGCTCCAGAAAAGTTAGTAAAAACATTGTTAAAATAGTCCAAGTGACTACAGTGGCTCAACCTTAAGTTTCTCAAGCGTCGAGAATACTTTTTGTGGGCTAATTATGTTTGTTTGTTTTTGCGCACAAAAAGTATTCTTGTCGTTTGATAAACTTAAAGTTGAGCCACTGTAGTTACGGGCCCGGCAGGATGAAATTGCCTAGAAGCCTATGGAGGAGTGGTCCAGCTCTTAATCTTAATTTGTGTTCTGAAGATAAACAAAAGTCTTACATGGTTGGAACAACATGAGGGTGAGAAAATACTGCAGAATTTTCATTTTTGGGTGAACTAACCCTTTAATACTAAATCTGCCAAAAGAAAAATTGTAAACAAAGGAGAAGAATTAACTGTGCTCACTGGTCGCCTTGAAGTTCCACCCATCTGTGCAGAGAAAGTGACAATACAATACACCATTCTACCCAGCCAGCAACAAAAACCCTCACCCAACCTTCTAGGTATTCACCAAAACAATACACGAACACTTAATGTTCAGACCATTAATAGCAGGAATTTATGTGCAACAGCGCAAGAGTCACTGTAATAAAACACATTTGAACATATTAAACCATTCATGTGGTTGCACAAAGCCCCATGTCAATTGAATCAAAGTTATTAATGCTGTTATAATTGGACACATTTTTGACATGAGGAAAGCTACAAAGCAGCAACTTCAGCCAGACAAACACCAAGTCAAACATTTGGGTAAAAACTGACAGGAAGAAGCCAGAATATGACGATCAAGTCTTGATGAAAAAATGACAGACCACTGCATGGACTTCATTGCTATGCAAAAATGAGACACAAGACTGAGTGTTTCTCATAATTTCTACAAGTAATATTTCTTATCTCAGTAGTTATCTCCTCACAAGACTATCCAGAATGGCTACTATAGTTACAGTACATAATAGAAAAATCATAACTATTACTAGCACAAACCAATATAGTGTCTAACAAGTGCTAGTAAAGTCGATAGAACTAACTATTTGGAAGGTTAAACAGGAAATATCTAATAGGCCTGCATTAATCACAAAATTATAGAATAATTACTAGCACGAATGCAATAGGCACCACAACTATTGAAAACATACTAGTTGGAAGTGAATCGTTGATATTAGAACCACAGATCCAAATGTGTTGCCAGTAACAATGGACTAGTTACAGCTGACTAGTGACGCCTTGAATAAAAGAATTAGTAAAAGCCTATGTAATGGGAAAAAATGGGCTACTAATGACTCAATCTATTTCACAGGCCATGTGAAATAGATTGAAGACTGAAATGAGACTACCAGCATCGAATCTAAGTAGCCAGTTTAATAAATAGATAGGGCTACTAAATTGAAAAACATCGGATTAGGCTACTAACTACAAACATAGCTGCTAATTTGAAGGGATCACTGTAAAAACAGCTTGTTTTTTTACACAAGCGTGCAAAACAAAGTAGCCTAATCTTTGTTTATTTAGAGAAGCAGGTTATGAATCGGATCAGTAAACATCCAAGTATCTCGCTGAAGGCCATGTGAAATCATTTTCATCTAAACTCCACAGATCGATGCATAAAAGACAAACCTACATACCTTTCACTTGCGTTTCATACTCCGCAATGATCTCCTTGTCTTTCTTAATCCTCGTCTGAGATGACATTTTTCTTGAGGTATAAATGTAGAATCCAGTGATATGTTGAGCTTGCGCGCGAGCTACTGTCACAGTTTGCAGCTTTCCCCCTTTTTCCTCACCGGTTACTCTGAGAAGTGTCCTTCAAATGTTACATCGGCTGGTAAATCCTGACACTTTCCCCTTCAGAAAGAAGCAGCTGAAAGCAATCCCGGGCACACCTGCGCTTTCTCAGATCCGATCCCTCGCGTTCAGATGAGCTGCTGGGCTCGGGGAGAGGCTGCTCCTCCTTGCTCAAGATCTGCCATCTGAAGTGACTGAAGAAAATACAATTCCTATCTACAAGAAGAACTTAGGGTATGAACGATGCGGCGTTGTGTCTGTGCCCATGCCGTTTAAGTGGTCCTCAGGTCCGCATGCTCTGAAAGGAAGAGTTGAGATGGCATAATCTGAGTGTAACTGGGCTCCGTTGCATTAGAATCTCAGCGGCAAAGCAAAGAACAGAATAGCGCCCGAGCGTCGTATGTGACTCCTCCTATTGTCGAATTTACTCCCTCAACCAATCCAATCACTTCCATATGCACCCCTCCCTGGGCACAAACGCACAAACACACACACACACACACACACACTGGGCGTTTCGTTTACACTTACATTCTCTAAAGCCAATGTATTTAGCTCAAGGTATCATTTTCCTCAGAGAGGTATCAGCATGTTTGTATTTGTGTCCTAATACCCGTTAACTAAAACATGATACACACAAAAAAATGAATTGGGCTGTGAGTATCAATACTTCAGACAATGACCTGTAAGACCATCAGGCAATAAATCCATCTCTCCTTATGAATTGCAATAAAGAGTAGGCTACATGTACAGTCAATCGGTCATTGTTGCAAATCAAACCCTGTCAAGGTGAGCTTGTTGTATAATCCTGAAGGGTTATTTTGCAATAATAACCAGCAGATTGTGCATTATAGCCTACTAAATAAATAAATGTCTTATGCCATCAGTGTGTAGCCTACTTACATTTACGAGTCATTTAATCATGTTTAATTTTGGACTTCTCTGTGCATGCTCTTTGAGGTGGTGACCATAGACTTGCATTATATGACTGACAGATAAGAACGGTTTGACCTAAAAATAGCAAAATTGAAAATACTGTGGAAACAAAGACACCTACATCTTGGTTGGATGCCCTTGAGGTAAGCTAAAACGTACCAAAAATTAATTTCAAAGTAAACTATCCCTTTAAATCATACCTTGCTTGTAGAGGCATCACACTTAAGCACAGCCATACACAGGCACTGAATGCTGCAATGGATGAGAGTGAAAAAATGCATTGATAATAGAGTTAGAAAGTGGGTGAAAGGATCTTTGGGGAAGGGATACTGTCTATCAATCACCAGTATCTCTAATTCACTACATAACATTGCCTTTGACAGTTTAGACAGAAATGTGGTTAAAAGGGTGGCAGTTACAGTACCTCGAAAATGGGCAATGGAGGTCAATTGCTAAACTACTTAAGATTAACATTTCAAACTTGCCGTTCATGAGGACATTGTGTGGTCTAATATTACAGTAGCCATGGAGGGAAGTGTTAGCGAACAAACAGCACAGATGTTCAATTCACACTCATTTTTTTTTTATTATTATTCTGTGGGTGTTTCATAATTAGTTTGAGTTGCATAATATGACAGCATGTGCTAATGCGTTTGGAAGTATTAATCTAACATCTAATTTGTTTTGCATCTATAACCTTGATGCTCAAGATGAATTTAGGAATATGTCCAAAAGCAACGAGCCTGACAAGAGCTCTGTTCATTCAGGTGTCAGAGATGTTCAAACTAAGATGTGATGTTCTGAGAAGAGAAACGGTGGCCTGACAGTTCCTGTCAGCGAGGTGTTTAAGCCTGTGGTCTCAGAAACCCACATCAAAGCTCTGTCATCATGCCATTTTATCTGTGATCTTGCAGTGCAAGAGAAAAGCTCTTAGTGAAATGGGTCGTGGTCTGAGTGACACTGAAAAATACTCTTAAGATGCGAGCTTAGAATTCAGTTACAAAATCAATAGCAATGGGCATCAGAGCCATACAATAGCTTTTACACAAAAAACACAAATACTAGGGCCTACATATCACCTGTTATGTTGTGATTTATTTTCAACGCATCTTCAGCTGCATTACTTCATATGTGTAGCTGTGGTTTGTGCGTGTCACTAACATACCTTTGATATTATCACTGATCTATTCCTAAAAGTTAAGTGTTCCTACAGCCAACCAGCACAAGCTTCTTTAGCTGTGTTTAACATACAAGACATTTGACCTTTCAAAGCGCACTTTTACAAGCTTATCGTAGGAATTTATAATCAGATATGCAAATGGGTTATAGGTTTGCATTTTTGATCTGGAAATATAATTTTTATGATACAAATATCCAGCCTTCAGGTGAAATTAATTATTGATATTTGAATGATTCATAATCAATGCCGCCATATGTTTGGTCACATTTTTGTATTTTGAAGCATCACTATCAATTGAGAATGCTTTTACTGTAAACTCCAATTCAATTACTGAATTTGAATTGTAGCAAGGCCTCAGATAGATAGAAAGATAGATAGATAGATAGATAGACAGACAGACAGACAGACAGACAGACAGACAGACAGACAGACAGAGACAGACAGACAGACAGACAGACAGACAGACAGACAGACAGACAGACAGAGACAGACAGACAGACAGACAGACAGACAGACAGATATATTCTTCAATTTATAGTTTTGCATAACTCTTTATCAGGAGGCTGGGGAACATTTTATAGAACATCATGGGCTATACCAGGGTAATAAACATCCCTACAGAGGCACAATAATGTGTTGTATCCTTTAGTTCAGGGCAAAAAAAAATTACCAAGCAATTTACCAAGCTCTGTGCCCCTCCTCTCGCTTCATCACTTTTAGGCATCTCAGGGGGCAGCAGCCTGGGAAACTATGACTTCAGTGTTTTTGAGGGACAAAGCAGCATTGTGAAGTCCTTCTCAGTATTTCAGCTTGAAGAATGGCGGAGAGAGAAAGAGAGCTTCCTCAGAGAGGCTCAAAACACCAGAATGAGTCACTGCTGAGAATATATGTGCCATAGAGGATTCTGTCTGGACCAATGCCAGGGTATTAGGCGACTGAAAATGAATGAAGTTTGGACACATTAAGAAACTGGGAAATATGTTAGGGTGTACAGTTTTATGTTTTCTTTCGATTACAAGTCCAACATCTGCATGCTGCACATTTATCTGACGGAAATGAGAAGATTAAGATGAAATCTTGCCTTGAGCTGCTCAGATTCACTGTAGCACATACCGAGAGGAAACAAGACAAAATCCTACATTACAATCACAACTATGCCAAGAGCTGGTAAGAAATCCTGGTAACACTTTACTAATGAATAAGGTTCTAATGAATACTAAATTACTATGTTACTTAAAGGGATAGTTCACTTTTAAAATTAATTTTTGATATGTTTTAGCTTACCTCAAGGGCATCCAAGACGTATGTGTCTTTGTTTCCGCAGTAGTTTCAATTTAGGTCAAACCGATCTTGTCTGTCAGTCATATAATGCAGGTCTATGGTCACCACCTCAAAGAGCATGCACAGAGAAGTCCAAATTAAACATGATTTAATGACTCGTAAATGTAAGGACACATTAATGGCCTAAGACATGAAACAAGCAGTTTGTTTGAGAAAATGAACATTATTTATATCGTTTTTACCTCTTGTAATCACAGCCACGTCCAAGTGATCTGAGGGCGCGGGCGCTTCGGTCTGCGCAAGTGTTCGGCCTTACTAATGTTTAAATAAAGAATGAACAATATTTATTTAAACATTTACTAATAGATTATTCAAATCAAAGGTTGTATTTGAAAGTTAATAGCATATTTGATTTCACTGTGAAATAACATGAACAAACGATGAACAGCTTTTTTATTAACTGACATAATAAATACTGTAACAAATGTATTGCTCATTGTTAGTTCATGTTAATTAATACATTAACCAATATTATGCCCCTATGGACATGTGTTGAAAATTAGCACATGTGCTATTACACTTTAAACAATGCATCTGGTTCGTCCAATGTTATTGCTATGTCCATATTAAATAAATAAAAAAATAAAAAAAATAAATAAATAAAAAATTAACTGATGAACTTTATTGAAAAGTGTTACTGAAATCCTGAATATTTCTTGCATACTTCCCATTCTTTTATCATCCACATCTGGCACAAAAATAGCATGAACAAAAATCAATGTAATGCTGACGTTGATATAAATGTAAATTATGATGTAAAAGAACTAACACATCTTTTCCTTCCCACTTTTTATTAGAAGGAGGCATGGAAACGATGGGGAAATGGCATCTGGAAATGTCTCGGGCCAATTTCAGACTCTCATTTTTTAAACTCCAACTTTTTTAACCTTTTTATTTATTATATAATTTCCATATGAACTTTAAAAACTCTATAGGCCTACAAAAAAAAAAAATCCATATCATGTTTCCAGTACACGTGGAACACTTTCTGCTCACAAGAGTCTTGTCTACTTGTCTATATGAAAGAAAAAAACCATGAGAGAGAGATGGATTGATATAAAAGACAAGAGAGTTGAGTTCAAACTGACATACCACAGCAGACAATACACTAGGGAAAGATTTATTTATTTATTTATTTATTTATTTATTTATTTGATGAGCATGAAAATGTATTTTTAGTGCTGTCAAAGTTAACTACAAAAGCTCTGGAACAATGTTTAGATATTATAAAAAGTGCTATGCAAAAAAAATGTACACTGCATTGAAAACTTTATATATCCATAATTATATATCCAAAGTCGGTATTTTCAACGTAATATTTAAATATTTAAAATGTTGTCCTGGCTTCCTTACAGTAACAATATAAAAACAATTAAGTTTGCAAATAACATTCTTACAAAATAAATGGGTTTTAAAACATTATGTAGCCTAGTTATATATATTTTAGAAAGGGATCACTTGCAAGGAAATCCTCACATTTTGGGGTCCCTGGCATAAAAAAAGCTACAAAAACCCCTAATATTTTGCAGTTGGCTAAGGTTGATTAACTTCAGCATTGTTGCAGTTTCTTGGGAAATTGTCTGAATGGTGAGAATCACAGCAGGCCATCAAACCGGTGAAGACTCACTTTTCCTGGCAAGTGGCAAGCATCACCAGTTTGCCTTAATCACACACACACTGTGAGCAATTATCACAGATTTGTTTCAAGGACAAAAATGTGTTTAAAAAGCTCTTTACGTCTTGTTTTCTTTCAATAGTTTGACATAATCTTATTCCTTCTATGTTGTACTTTAACCATAGCTTTCCGTTCATGTCATTTACTTTCACTTATACACATGTCTCTCAATCTGATTTATCTCATCCCTCTTTATTCATACAAGGAGAGTGTTCATTCTGAAAATCAGTGTTTCAGGGGAAACACAGGGCTATAG